AGCATGTGGATTAGGGTTCCGCCCAAAAGTTGAACCGGTCTAACCTCCTACTAGTTCAGATGCTCCAACTCACGGCCCAGGTATTTTTTTAACCATGTCAACAAACAAAGGGCGGCCTTTTGAGGTTACACCTAATTCAAAATTATTTAAATTTTTTTCCTTAATTAACTTGTGTGACTTTTGGGCTTCCCCCATTAACTTTTCAGTTTCCACTTTAAGCTGACCACTAGTTTCGAACTCCGTCTCCACCTGTAAGCCTCTAGTAACCCAGCCTTCCACGTCAGCATCGTCTTCAACCTTGGAGCTTTGTCCCCAAAGCTCTGCCTCCAGCTCCGAAACCAGACATATTTTATACCAGCTTCCATCCGCAAGAACCTCTATTGTTCTTGGAATCGAATCAAGCTTCACCCAACGATCCTCATGTCAGCAGCTCGAAAGTTTTGTAGCTGACAATCCTCCATTTCCCCTCCCAAGAGCCTCACAATATTTCCCACATTTACTTCGTTCCAAAGATGAAATGGAAGACCCACCAGTTTGAACATGAAGCTTCTACCAGGCTGTTCCATCTCATTACATAATGGCTTCCACTTTTGCACTTGGACCATGCCTTCACATTTGAAAGCAGTAAAGCCCCTGTTTACCTCATCATTGATTCTTAAAATTGCCTTCCTTGCTGAAAAAGGTTTCAACGCAATCTCAGCCTCCAAGTTCAGATTAATCACAATTGAATCTAAAACCTTCCTCCAGTCTTTTATCTCCTTGTTAACTGATATCACCAAGCTACGTTCCCAGTCACCTTGTTCAGCTTCTAGCCACAACTTCAAACCAGTATTGGAACCAGATATAACCTCTCCAACATTGTAATATTTCTGCTCAAGTGCTGCTCCGAATATTTCAGAGTTGTGGAACTTTGTTCTCTCCCCTGCTTCACATGCCTGTCTACAGAGACGAGAAAATGTTGTAGCTCCCTTATGAAAGCCTTCCAACCTTATGTCTTCTTCCCTTCTGGTAAGCAGACCATCTGTTTCCTGGCACCGAAGTATTATGAAATCGTAATAAACCATCCTTTTCCATTGCGCCTCAGCTCCACTTCGAACCTCTTTCTTTCCATTTCTAACACATTCCTCCAACCAGCTGTTCTAACCGATTGTATTACACCATCAATATAACCTTTCAACCATAAAGCCGCCTCTTCAAATAGTAATATCATCGCCTTCCTGTCTTCCCTAATTTTTAGCATATTCTTGCCTCTGAGTCTTCCACTCTCCAGTAATAGTTTCTTTGCTTCAATGTTTAAAATCGATTTCCAACTATTCACCATCTGGAAACCTTCTTCGGATCTTTTCTCCATCACCGCCTCTTCGAATAGCTCCTCACTATACAACTCTTTGAGCAAATGTCAAATCTTAAAGTGAATTTCGAGAAATGTTGTATAGTAGGAGTGAATCTAGGGGAGGGGAGATACTTGAGTGCATAGGCATTTGGAGTGTGCAGTGTCTAAATGGCCTTTAAACTACCTTGGTTTGTCTTTGTGAGATAATCCTCAAAAAGGAGAGTTCTAGGTTCCAATTGTGGAGAGGTTTGAAAAGAGACTTGCCTTGTGGTAGAAAAATTATCTTTATCTTTAGGAGAGAATCACTCTAATTACGTCTGCCTTAACTAACCTGCTTGTTTACTTTTTGTTAGTTTTTAAGATTTTGGCAGGGGTGGCCAATAGGCTGGAAAAACTAATGAGGGATTTCCTTTGGGAGTAGGGGAGGAGAAAAAGGACCATAGGGTTGGGTGGGAGGTGGTGTGTAGGAGTAAGAAGAATGGAGGCCTTCGCATTGGGAACATAAGGAAGAGAAACTTGGCCTAATTAGGGAAATGCCTGTAGAGATTTTCATTGGAAAAAAGAAAAGTCATGGGCTAAGATAGTGGGTAGTATTCATGGGCTTGTAGAGAATGGATGGGACTCATTGATTTTGGCAAGGACTACAAGGGCGTCTCCTTGGAAAGCAATCCAAGCTATTTTGCCTTTGTTTTCTCCCTAGATTAGGTATGATTTGCACTCAGGCAATCTCATTAAGTTTTGGGCAAGGTTCAAAGTATTGATACGATACGAGTTTCAGCCATATTGTATCAACACTTAGAAACGGCCGAAACTTTATTTTTTTTTTTAGTTTTTTTTTTTTAAGTTTGGTTTTTTGGAAAGCTTATAACCTGTTTTTTATTATTAAAAAAATTGGGGGTCTGAAACACCTGGAAACAGGCGTTTTGGACCGTATCGTTTTCAAAAGATACGATATGATACACCCGATACGGGGCGTATCGTATCGATACTTTGAACCATGGTTTTGGGAACATGTTTGGGTTGGTGATTCTCCTTTAAAAGACCAATTTCCGACTCTCTTTTCAATCTCTACCTTTAAGAATGAATTGGTATCCACTTTCCTTGTACCCTCTAACTTGACCTCTAGGTTTGGTTGGAACTTGGGTTCGAGAAGAGATATCAGGGACACCGAGTTGGACAATACTTTAAGTTTATTATCCATCCTTGGTGGGGTTTTCCTAGAGACAATAACGGTAGACTATAGAATTTGGACCCTCTCTCCCTCGGGTTCCTTTACGTGTGCTTCATTCTTTAAAGCCCTAACACAATCAATTGTTCCTCTTGGGTTGTCTTTCCCCGTTAAAGAGGTGTGGTGTCAACCTATCCCTCCAAAGGTTGGGAATTTTTTTTGGGAAACCTTTTTGGAAAGAGTTAACAAGGAGATTTGCTTCAAAGAAAAGCGCCCAATAGATGTTTGTCTCCTCACTAGTGTGTCCTCTATAAAGATGCTGGTGAGTCTGGTTATCACTTACTAATTTCCTATCAATTTGCAAGCTTTATTTGGGAATGGTTTATTTCTTTGTTTGGGTGCAGGTGGACTTCCCCAACGAATGTGCAAAACTTGTTTACTTCCACTCCTTCCAATTGGCCAATAAAAAGGGCAAAGATTATGTGGAGATGTGTCAAGGCTGCAATATGCTGGACTATTTGGGAAAAAAAATTCAAGGATTTTCTTAGAAAAGGAGAGAAGTTTGGAAGTAGTGTTAGAGGTGATTCATAAAAGGGTAATACATTGGTTGAAAACTTTAGATATGTTTGCAGATTTCTCAGTAGCTGATTTGCTTAGAAAGTGGAAGGAAATTGCAAACTCATCTTCAGTTAGGAAGTCTCAAGTTCCTGTTGGAACCCTTCACCTCCCGGTTTTACTAAACTGAATTTTGATGGCAGCAGCATGGGCAATCCAGGGCCCTCCGGAATAGGGGGAGTTATAAGGGATGAAAAAGGGAATCTGACAGCCATGTTCTCTGGCCTAATCGGGGTGGGAAATTCTTCGAGGGCTGAAATACTTGCAGCTCTAGAAGGGGGTACAAATGGATAAAGACATGAATATTAACAAACTGATCATAAAAGGAGACTGAGATTGTAATGAGCTGGTTAAAAGAAGACAACCCTAGGCTTTGGAACTACAACAATGAAAAGAGGAAATTTAAATGGCTGACTAAGGACATTGAAGTTTGATGCACATGGGTAAAGAGAAGTGCAAATTCATTTGTAGATAGGTTAGCTAGGCAAGGGGTGAAATGAAACTCTATCTTTTAGGCTCAATTGTAATTGCTCTTATATTCTTAGGTGTATGTTAGCTTATTTGGGGAGTTAAGATATTTTAGCTCCCCTCCTCTCTAATCTTTTTTCTTAGGTATTGTTTGATTCTCCTTAAAACAAGTACTTATCCGAATAATTACTTGTTTTAAGTGATGGGACCACACAATAAGTGGAAAATAAAACTTATTCTTGATAGGTAAAAAAGCCAGGTATAAGTGCTTATTTCAAAAATAAGCAACTCCTGGCAAGCTTTTTTTAAGTGCTTAATTAATCAATAAGTGTTTTATCAAAAATTTTGGGACGAACCAGCCCCTAAAAAAATTCAATATTCCCAGACTACCCCCGCGTAACCATTGGAGCTACCGCCCCTAGAACCACGCCCCAAGGCCTTTTTGTAACATCACCTATAATATTATTTCTACTTCGGTAATTTTCTATCTTATCCTTCTAACTTATTAATTCATTGTTAGGTCTATTTCAAACTTTATATTTATTTTTAAACTGCCTCTATTTTTTATATGGGTTCCTATTCTATCCTTTTTTTTTCTTATTCATATCCCAATTTTAACCAATGATTTAAATTTTTTGTCTAAGATACCCCTATTATTTGCATAATTTCTTATTCTATCCTTAATAATGCAAATGCACCTGCCACACCACTAGTTCTTTAAAAGGAAGTTTTACTCTCACGGACCACCTTTTACACATAAGGGAGATCTTTAGGCTGTGTTTGGTTGCAATGCAAATAAATTTCCACTGATGCAAAACCATGGCAGTGCAAATGATATGAGTGTAAATTCTGACCTATTTTTGTTTCAAATTTTATCTTATTTTGTTTGATTGCAGTATAACTGAAGTAAATTAAAACATGAAGCAGAATAAAGTAAAATCCAAAACAAAATTAAATAAGAATTTGCATTTTTTTTACATTTGCACTCCCATGCATTTGTACTGGTGCAAATAAATTTGCACTGCAAGCAAGCACAGCCTTAGGTGAAGAGAAAGCTTCAAAGACCTCTAGGAACAAAAGTCATGCAGACGTTCTTAAAATGATTCAATATAAATTACTTGACAGGTTATTGAAATTCCAATCTCTAGTGTGCAAAAAGATGAAAAAAAATGATTCAATCAAGAATTAGGGTTATTAAAATGCAAACTACATGTTGTGTCCAGTCTTAAGCTCATTAATTCCTGAGACGTTTTCAATCACTTAATCTTCAGCTGTTCCAGTTGTTGAACCCATATTTTGGAACAATATGAATTATGTAGAAATATCTCCAGGATATTTTTTTAATATTTTTCGTAATATCTCTAGAATATTTGTGTGAACTTGAACATATATAATTTTTTTTATTATTATTTACAGAGAAAAGGTTGCTGAAACAAGGGATTTTTTCAAGACAGCCGAGGAATGTTTAGAAATGTGTCGTTCCTATGGTGTGCCTCTACTGATAAATGATCGAGTAGATGTTGCCCTTGCTATTGATGCTGATGGCGTGCATATTGGCCAATCTGACATGCCAGCACGTGTTGCTCGCATACTTCTAGGGCCAGAGAAGATTATTGGGGTCTCATGCAAGACCCCAGAGCAAGCAGAACAAGCATGGCTTGATGGTGCTGATTATATTGGCTGTGGTGGAGTCTTTCCAACAACCACAAAAGAAAACAACCTCACTATTGGTTTAGAAGGGTTGAAAACTGTGTGTTTGGCTTCTAAGTTACCTGTGGTTGCCATCGGTGGCATTGGTGTTGGAAATGCTCATTCTGTTATGAAAATTGGCATTCCTAGTTTAAAAGGTGTAGCTGTTGTGTCAGCTTTGTTTGATCGTGAATGTGTTACCACTGCTACAAAGATGCTACATTCAGTACTAATGGATGTTGTTTCAACACCAAATTGAATAAGAGAGAAGTCTATAATGAATATATCAGGTAGAACGGGGATTTTCGAGGGAACTTTTTAACAACCAAAGTGGATTATGGAATATGGTAATTCCTTGAACTAGAACGGGGATAATCTTTGAACAGTTTGACTTTATTGAAACAGAATGCATTATGGTTTCTCAATGTCATGATTTTGTCGGATGCATGGAAGCTAAATTTTGGGAGTGCTTATTTGGGTCATTAAGCTTTTATTGGTACTTGGAAAATAAGCCCAAAATAAGTGCTTATTTTAAAAATAAGGGCTTTTTTAAGCTCAAATTCAGTTTTTTTTTTAAGTGTTCGTACAATAAGCATTTATTCAATTTTTTCTTCTAAAATTATCCCTAGTTGAATTTGAAAATACTACTTAAAAAATTATCCTTAGTCGAATTTTATAAAATTACTTTTACAAAAGGGCTTTTATAAAATTACTTTTATGAAAGTATTTTTTTTATAATAGCACATTTAAGAAAGTACTTTTATGAAACCACTTTTACGAAAGTACTTTTATAAAAGTATATTTACGAAAGTACTTTTATGGAAGCATTTTTACAAAAGTACTTTTATAAAACTATTTTTACAAAAGCACTTTTATGAAAACACTTTTACGAAAGTACTTTTATGAATGTACTTTTACGAAAGTACTTTTATGTAGGGGTGGCAATGATGAGCTGTTTGGGCTCGACTCGTGAAAAGCTTTGCTTGGTTTGGTTTCAATTGAGTTCAAGCCTAATTCATTGGCTCGATTATTAAACAAGTCAAGATCGAGCATACTAGAGCTCGACTCATGAGGCTCACTCGAATATATATATATATATATATAATATAACAAAAATATTTTTATATATAACTTTTTATTTTTATAAAATATTTTTTCTTAAAAACGAGTTCGAGCTTATGAATTTTTTACTCAAGTCGAGCTCGAGCTTATGAATTTTTTACTCGAGCCAAGCTCGAGCTCAAGGTTCTAGCTCGAATTGAGCTCGAGCTCAAGCTCGAGCCTTGTAGAACAGTCTCTTATTTTAAAATGTAGTTAATAAGATTAAAATCCATGACCTCTTATTTTCATATGTTAATTACCACTAATCCAACTCTTTGTTTATGTTAATTAATGACACTTTAATGCATATGTTACATTATTGTGCACCTATTTTAAATAAAATCTATACTATTGTAGAAAAGTATTTATTATAAAAAAAAATACTATTATAGAAAGCACAAATGAGGGTGTAAAACTTTTCTTAACTAAAATGCCCATATTTATGTATTTACCCAATTTAGGGGAATCTTTGATCAGCTCCCCCTCAGAAATCAAAACTTAAGGACGTACGAAAATCCGAATCAATACCACCTCCACCTAATAAATGTAAAATTTATTTTGGCTCCCCCGCCACGTCATCAAAATTAAAGTTTCGATCCCATTATACGGCTCATCCCAACGGTAACTTTCGGTGTTCTTCCTCATTCGAATCGAACGCAACAGCGTCTCCGTCGTCTTCTTGCTCACCCCATTTCTCAGAGGCAAAACATATTCCATCATCTTCCCATTTGAATTGAACCAGCAACGTCTTCTTCTTCCTTGAAGCTAAGCATCTTCCATCATCTTCTCATTCAAACCGAACCAGCAGCGTCTTCTTCTTCCTTGAAGCTAAACATCTCCCATCGTCTTCTCATTTGAACCGAACCAGCAGCGCCTTCTTCCTCGAAGCTACCAACGGTAACTTTCAGTCTTCTTCCTCATTCGAACCGAATGCAGCAGTTTTAGTCTTCTTCCTCATCCGAACCGAACGCAGAAGTTCCAGTCTTCTTCCTCATTCGAACCAAACGCAGCAGTTTTAGTCTTCTTCCTCATCCGAACTGAACGCAACAATTTCAGTCTTCTTCCTCATTCGAACTGAACACAACATCTTACTCACCGAAGCTAAATTTCGAAGCTACCGCAACGTCTTCTTCTTCCTCATTCAAACCAATAGCTGTACAACATCTTACTCACCGAAGCTAAATTTTGAAGGTCAAGCATTTTACTGCAACATCTTCTTTGTCATTCGCACCAAGACCGCCTATGTTTCCAGTACAATGCTTGTGTATCCGGTTCATTTTGGTTTGGCTATCGATGCATTTACTTTGTTACATTTTTTTCCTTAATTGGTTGTCGTAAGGACATCTGTAAGTGAATATTTAAATGTTGCTTAGTTTAGTTCTAATGAAAATTAAGTGTTTAATGCTGATTATGATATGAATGTTATTACGGTGGGTTATTGAACATTTGTAGGTATGAATAGCCAACGGAGTGTCGGAAATGAATGTCTGAGTAGTTTGCAAAATGATACTAAGTATTGCTATTGTAAACGAAAATGCATCCTCCGAATTAACAACTCGGAATAACTCACAGAAGTTATTTTATAGTTGTTGTTGCCGCATGGATTGGCCGGGGGCAATAAGATAAATTCACTCTCTAGATTCCGAATATAGGCCGAAGATTTCAGGGCCTCGGAAGAGGTGAGCCGAAGCCGAGGACCGTGGGCCGAAGCGAGGTATTCCTTTTGGGAGGGCCAACCCGCATCATTTGATGGCGTCAACCACAGCTGGGGGGATCCTTGCTGCCTCCGTACGGAACCAACCACATAATGGTCAGACATACCCGCCATGGCCCGCCGCTTGACCTCGTACGGCTCTCATCTGGTGCGTCCATCTTCACCTACCTCCAGCCCGCTCAAGTATAAATATGAGGTAACTCCCCCTTTGAGGGGATCCGGAATAGGGAATTCTAACATAGCTCACTCATTTACTCCCCGCACCTACCTTGCTCCCTTAGCATTTATTCTGGGAGATCCGGTGCACCCGAGGACTGTCACCAAGACCTTGTCTACTCCCTCTCCTACTTTACACCTCGTACTAACTTGAGCGTCGGAGCCTCTGCCTCGGGTCTCCACCTGAGGCCTCTAACATTCCCTGTCTTACAGTATCCCCGGTCTCCAGGAACCTCGTCACCGAAGGACAACCTACAGTCCTCGGCTTCTACGGTCCTCGGAAGGAATACCTCGCTTCGGCCCACGGTCCTCGGCTTCGGCTCACCTCTTTCAAGGCCTCGAAGTCTTCAGCCTACTTTCGGAATCTAGAAAGTGAATTTACCTCGTTGCCCCTGGCCAATCTGTGTGGCAACACCTGTCAATTAAAATCTGAAGTAATATTTTTAGTGGGATGATATTATTTGTTAGCATCGATATAAGGCATGTATATTGCTAATGACATGTGTTGCACTTGTAGGACTAGGTGTTTGATAGCCCAACAACTGAAAGTGATTCTATTGGTGGTTGCAAACTTTTTGAGTGGGCAATTCCTCGAGGTTGGTCCGATGAGGTTACATTGGGAAATCGTCATGGTGATGTTCTGGAGCGCCTTGAAAAAGTGGAGAGAGTAGTTGATGTTTGCATAAGGCAGATTGAGTCTATGAAATCAGTCCATGAGTTAGCTGCTGAAGGGATGGCTACAATTAAGCAACTTGTTTTTGTTCTTTTTGTTATTATTCTCCTGACGTTGGTGTTTTGGAAATAGTTCATCATTTATGGTGAATAAGTAGGTTTAGTGTTTTTAATATTGCGTTAAAAGACTCCCCCCTTATGTTTCCATGTTGGTGAACTATTTTTGTATCTTATTGTAGTTATTTTGACTTTTTAAATATTAGTATATAAACATAAATGGCTTAGAAGATATTTTTTTTCGGACTAAGAAGTACATCTTAATTCATCGAAGATACCTTCTGGGAAGAGGTAGAGAAGCTCAGGTTCACTGGGAAGTCTGATGGATCGGCCTTCGGGCGATTCTACCAATTCCCAGAAGCTGTCCCAGAGGGGGACACGGGGGTCGACGGGTGATAGAACCACCTCCACGGTGTGGGGAGAGGTCCCTTGGACATACCCAGATGAGGCGGAGATGCCCTACAACAACGGGGAAGGCTGATAGTGGAAAATGGTGCTTTAGCATAACCACCGTTTCCCACCGTCGGCCCGGGTCATCGGGCTGATGGGTGACCGGAAGGTGTCGAGATGCTCATTGGTTGAGTGGCAGTAGAAGGGAGTGGGTCTGGTGGCTATCGCACCCCTCTGCACCTGTCGGATCGGCCTCCTGTTAATTCTCCCAATTCCCAGAAGCGGTCCCGGAGGGGGGCGTAGGGGTAATTAGGCAGCTGAACCACCTCCTCGGGGTGGGGAGAGGTCCCCTACAAGTACCCAGATGAGGAGATGCCCTGGGCCAATGAGAAAGGCCGACGGTGGGAAACATTGCTTTCGTAGAACCACTGTTTCCCACCGTCAGCCCGGGCCATTGGGTCGATGGGCGATTGGAAGGTTTCGGGATGCTTGTTGGGTTAGTGGTAGTAGGGGGAGTGGGCTTGGTGGCCATCGCAGCCATCCAAACCCGCCAGATCGGCCTTCAGGCGATTTCGGCAATTTCCATAAGTGCTCCTGAAGGGGGGGCGCGGGGGTAGTCGGGTGGCGGAACAACCTCCTCGTGGTGGAGAGAGGTCCCCTGGATGTACCCAAATGAGGCGGAGATGCCCCAGGCCAACGGGGAAGGTCGATGGTGAGAAATAGTGCTTTTGTAGAACCATTGTTCCCACCGTCGGCCTGGGCCATTGAACCGATGGGTGATTGGAAGGTTTTAGGATGCTCGTTGGATTAGTGGCAGTAGGGGGGAGTGGGTTTGCTGGCCATCGCACCCCTCTGCTGTTAGATAGTGTATGCCCTTAGCTCCAATCAGAATGATGTACATTATGACATTTAATGTAAATGAATAAAGTACATATTTGATTTATGTTATTATGGTGTGTATCTGTGTAATACCCTTAAACTGGACACTTATGAGACTCGTGTTAGTTTAGAATCTTCACAGTCGTTGGATGGATCTGGGGAGATTTATCCTGCCAAAGCTGAAACTGATGTGCCGCCAAGTTGGTTGGGGTGGCTTGTCTCAGCTGCCAGGGTGAGACCTGAGGTATATGTAGTGTGGGTTTTCTTGAAACCCTGAACTGGACCAGAATTCTAGTATTGCCCTGGACCTTGGAGATAGATGGGCAAAACTGGAATGTTACACCTGACCCCTAGACTCGATTATGATACTACACTAGGTTTCTGATTGGGCTATCT